TGAAATTGGCCACTTTTACATAATCATCCAAAATGTCTCATACCAGTAGGAAAGGGCTTCAGTGCTAGAGCATACCTATGGATACAATATGTTCACTTTACCAAGGGGTTAATACTTTAACACATCCAGTGAGACCAAAGTAGATGTAAACTTTTCACCATCAGTAGTCAGTACTTAAACCACATTCAAAAAGCAAAAGTCCTTCTACAAATTCGTTTCCTTTTAAGTAACTTACAATCACTATGAAAACAGCAAATTGTGCTATATCAGTACTCTCATCAAATTGAATGATAAAATACCTATTCCTCCTCCCCCTTTTTTTTAATCCTTATCTCCTCCATATTATCAGAAATTTCTTTGATTCCATGAGAGACTGTATCATCGAAGAAAGGAACAGCATTAACTTTGTGAGTGTACTTATTGCTGAACATATAAAAAAACTGTGTCTTTAATGCTGGGCAAAATAAAATTTTCATTAGTCATGTGATTTTTACCATTTCTGGTGGTAACAGTAACTGATTGGATAGAGGGCTTCAAGCACCTACATTTGTACAACCATTAAGAAACGAGACCTATGTGTTAAGCTTTTAATTTACTTTACATTTACAACACTTACACATCTAGTGAAGCTCCTTATCTGTTGCTGAAACTTAATATTTTGGAGAATCTTCTTACCGAGGATTAAGAAGATGTATTCTACATCACTTCGACTAATGATGTGGGTTAGATGATGGTGTGTGTGGTATTCTAGAGTAGGCTGTATGTTATTATAATTTGTAAATCTTCTAAGTTTGCATACTGATAATATAAAATTACAGTACAATGTATGTACTATATCCACTTCAAAATTTTATAGAACCTGAAGTTTTAATTATCATACAAATATTGTATTTGTAGTATGGTTGGAAACACCAAGTCACAGAAATGGACAAATTAAAACTGATCCAACAACTAACACTGGGATTATCCCAGATTCTTTATAGAAATAAATTTTTATTATGAAAAATCCAGAACTGCCAGCCCACTTTATGTTCAGTTTATTGAAATATACCTATTATTGTCAGGTGGTGGCCAGTTGTCCTATCCCTCTCGACAAGTACTGACCTGCAAATAAAATATATACCTAAACTGAATTTATAATATTCATAACTCTCCAAATTAAAAATTTCTTTTAGATTCGATTTAATTATTTTGGGTTTTCCATAATGAAGTTCTAATGGGGTCTGCAAATACCTGTTTTTACAACAGCTTTTTATTGTTTCTCTGATGTTCAATCTATCTATTAATATCTGCCATTACATGTTTTTTCCCCTACATTCTCCCTGAGACTATTTGACATACCTCTTAGGGTATACGTACCACAAGGTTGAGAAATGTTGGTCCAGATGAATTAATTGTTAACGGTGTTTTCATTTTGTATACAAGGCTCTCTAATTTTCTTTAATGGTTTAGCAATCATTCTTATCATTTGTTACTTAAACTGTTTTAAAAATCAAGAGAATAATTAAGTAAAAACAGAATTTTGCAAATGATTCTAAAGTGTCCTGTTATAACCAAAACTACCATAAACAAAAGACTCACTTGGCCTTCTTAATTAGCTTTAATTAACAAAACACAATTAAGATAAAACATTACAATTAAGGGCATTATAATTATACATTTAATTTACAAAGTAAATCTCGGGGAACAAACATCTTGGGGAAACAGCATGATTAGTTTATGACTCCCATACATCGACTGAAGGCTAGAGTCTTTTTTTATTGGCTGGTGTTTATTCCGGCGGCTGCTAGGTGGCGCTCATTGAGCCGTGGGGTTACAGACTCCCCCTCTGGCTCATACGACGTCTCGGCGAAGAGACAGAAATATGTTGGTTTGTTCTGTCTTATCTCCTATACTCTATCACCTGGTTCGTAAGACATTGATGGTCATAATATATTTTTGTTGCTTTTCATACTCTGCATTAAATCGTGATGATTCATCAGCAACATAGAATCTGGGTGATTCCCTTCAAGCTTCATTGAATCAGGATGATTCATGGTACAGCATAGAATCAGGATGATACTCTTCAAACTTCACTGAATCTGGAGGATTCATTCAAAACCTCATAGAATCGGGATGATCCTTTTCATACTTAACTGAATCAGGATGATTCATTCAGACATTTCTGAATTGGGATGATTCACTTCAAACTTCATTGAATTGAGATGATTTATCACACAACACAGAATCAGGATGATTCCCTTCATTGAATCGAGCTGATTCACTCGAAACTCCATAAAATTAGAATGATTTTCTTCATACTTCGTTAAATTGGGATGATTCACAGAATCAGGATGACTCTTTTCAAACTTCATTGAATCGTGATGATTCATTCAACAGCACAGAATCAGGACGATTCTCTACAAATCTTTACTGAATTGAGATAATTCATTCAACAGTATAGAATAAGGATGATTATAGAAAAATTCACTATGTGGGGTTGGATCTTTCCCTGGTTCGAAGCAGTTCTCTTGAATTTTTGCGATAAGGGATTTAGTTGAGTACTCCGTTTTGTATGTAGATGTTTACCTTCGTCACTTCAAAGATTCATTAAAATAGATGTTTCAGAACTTAATTGGAAATTTATGTAATTTTTTGTATACATGCGTAATTAGCTATTTGAGTTGAATCACTTTCAAATTATCTGAGATGGGCAGACCCAGTACTGTGACTAACACTAGCAGATCTTTTTTTTTTTTCTGGTTAGTTCCAAAAATGCATGTTATCGTACTTTCAATGTCTGTTGAAAAGTTCAATATTTGTTTAAAGAAAAATTATATGTTAAAAAATTTTATGAGTTTCTTAATTACCCCTAACCAATTACATAATATTTGAAAAACAACATCGAACAAAATCATTCATCTGAGATTACTTCAAAAACGAAACTAACATTTTACAAGGATTAGGTACACTCGCAAAATCGGACAATGAAATGCACAAATGTTAGTAAACATAAAATCTCCAAAAATAGAATTTAACTTTGATAAATCTTTCTGATTAGTTATGCTCTGTGATGTCTACAAAATTCTAAATACTCTAAGAAATCAATTTTTGACTATAGTTCTCTTTGAAAAACACAATTAGATGTATAAGTTGTTCTCAAATATTACAAAATAATAATTTAAAACTTTTATAAACTCACAATTCGAAAATATTAGAATTCTAATATTAGAAAAGGCATTCTAATATTAGAATGTCTTTTCAGAATAACAGTAAATAAAACATTAATTCAAAGAAGTATTCTTATTGCGGAAAAACAAAACATTAGTGGTACAGTTTAAATAATATATTAGATAAAACCCTTTTCACCTTTAAATCATTTCTATTCTCAAAGAGGATAAAAAATATCCTTTACTATTATTCATAAAAAATAAAATAAAACAAAACACACAACTCATTCATAGATAGCAATACAATTATAAAATCCTAAAAGAATTATGCCGACCAGAAACATTTATCAATCAAAATAAAAATAACATTTTGCCTCGTAAACACTTTTCATTCAGAAGCGAAACGAAATTTTACATGTTGACTTCTAATGAAAACAAAATTAATCTTCATTTAGAACATAGAATTAAAATATAAGAAATTCAAATAAAAATCAATTATTTAAACAATGTAAGGCAATATAAATTCTTAAAATGCAACATAGATAAAAAGAAACACCTAGAGCTTATATATACTTTATATATGATTCTGTTTCGTTTTCAACAACACATTTTATTCCATATTATCAAAGTATTAATGACATTATAGTTCAAATTTTATATTCTTATTAAGTGAAAACCTGTTATCTTATTATTAAGTTAATTGCTTATTAATTGAAAATCTGTTATCTTATTATTAATTGCTTATTAAGTGAAAATATCGTATCTGTTATCTTTGGGTGAAGATGAAACCAGTACTTCATAGGATTTCTAAAATAACCTTTGGGTGAGGATTTCGCTGGTGGAAGTTGTACCTAAAACCTGGAAAAGAATATGAGTCGATATCCTTGAGTCTTGAACATGGTTTTTTCTCAACTAGATAAACCATACGAGTCGCGTATTGGGTAGCCAACTATAACCAAAATTACCATAAACAAAAGACTCACTTGGCCTTTTTAATATTTAATTAACAAAACACAATTAAGATAAAACATTACAATTCAGGGTGTTATACATTTAAGTTACAAAGTAAATCATCCCGTGGAAATAGCATGCTTAGTTCATTACTCCCGTACATTGACTGAAGGCTAGAGTCTTGTTTTGGCTGGTGCTTATTCAGGTGGGCGTTAGATGGCGCTCATTGAGCCGTGGGGTTACACTGTTATTTTGAAAGTTTCTCAGCGTCTGAACAATGCATTAAAATTATGATCCTTCACTTGTGTGGATTTTTTGCTGTATGCTGAAGTACTATACTGGTCTAAAGTGAGATGGCATAACATACAAGATGAAATTATATTTTTGAAAGTATTTTACCAGAAAAAAAAGTATTTGCATTCTGCATAGTCTTACATATATATATGTATATATATGAGCTTGATGTAATAAAGTTCTTTTGAAAGAAGTATAATTAAGTGCTTAATATTATACCTTAAGGGAAACTTTAAAAAAAATACTAAATAAATATGTTTTCTTAAATTAAAATAATGAGTAATCTTTCATTTTTAAATATTAAGCAGCTATTAAGACAAACAGATTTTTCAAAAAAATAGTTTAATTAAGAAGGTGGGATATTCAGAGTAATATACATTATTTCACCTGTACTATACATGAATATGGTTATGAAACTGACCTATAACTATTTCATGAAAATAAATTTGTAATAATTATTTATTTTGTGTCTAACAATTCCTTGTTTCTTCCTAATATAAAATAGCATGTATGTCTTTTTTAAAAGAAATAAAGATTCCCTGCACTATTTCATATTTATTAAATCTGTTTGTACTTTAACTAAAATTCGGGATTATTCTTTATTAGGACTTCTGTGTGCAATGGAGGCAGCTTTAAATTTTCTAGGAGCTGGTAACATAAGTGGAATGAAAGTGGCTGTGCAGGGAGCAGGTGGCATAGGTAATTAATTTGTTTCTGGCAATTTAGAAACTGTGTGACAGAACATGTTTCAGGAAAATTACATTATAATACATTGATTTTGGAAGAGAAAATTCTTTCTATTATATTGAAATCAGAAATTATTCAGATGTACAGAAACGTTTTGGCTTAATATATAACAAGCAGTAACACATTTTGTTTCTGACTCTAGTATTAATAACTAATTTCTAACTTGATTGACCTTAAGTAATTACCAGACTATCAATATAATCAGCATCATTTTATATACTTATGTTAATCTGCATATTTATGTTAGATTTAAAGTTGGCAGTTTATAATCAGCTTTAAATTAAATAGTTATTGCTCATCATTAAAGTCTGCCATTTTAATTTAAGTTAGCATATACATACATTAGGTTGCCATGAATTGTTATACCACTGGAATGTAAGCTGTATTGCTCTGTCATCAATGTTTATCAGGAACTGATAGTATATATACGAGTATATATATACCAATAGCTTTCCTGAAGATGAATGCATGACATATGCCAAGGAAAACAGTGTGGTTTAATCACTGATATTCGTCAGTGTTTGGGTCTCATCCCAAATAACACACACTATAATAAATTCGCTGGTTCGGTTCTTTATTAATTCTCATAATTAAATTACAATCACTCATTATTAACTCATAGCTGTGACCAGCCCTTGTATACCGTCGATAGCAGTTCTCAAATTCGTCTGATCATAACATTACAGGTGCGCAGGCGCGAACATGCTGTCCCACGTTGCAATGCTTAGCATTCAACTATTGTAATTAAGATATAAAGAAATTTAAACAAGTATTATAAACAATTTTGAATAAGTACTATTACATAAAATCATTATTATAATTAGACATTTACCATATACATCAGCATATAATTCAAAACAATGCAATATAACATTTCAGTTACATAATGACATTTTATGTGAAGCACATTCAATACTACACAATAACGATAAAGACAACTCATTTTTGTATTGGTAAGACACATAATTTGGTAATTGGTCATTTGAAGTTCCAGTTTGAGGTTTTTACACGTTGCACACGCAAACCTTTCCATCTTTACCATTAAAATACTTCTATTATACGACCAACCGCCCAATTACAACAAGGCTAAATTATCTTTAATTAAGGACCATGTCTCCAACTGGTGTATATTGTTTTTAGAGATTTGCCATTTAGATCGATTTTGTAAATGACTTAAATAATTGGAGTTCCATTTTTCCAAATAATTTTTACTAATCTTGTGATCTGTTGCCACAGTTTTAACCTGTTAATGTTAACTTCCGTGATATCTGGCTCAGGGATCGAATTAACTGCTCTACCAAATGCCCAGGTGTTAGAACTTCTAAATCATCAATGCCCGAAGACAAGGGCGTTAATGGTCGGGAATTTAAAATTCCTTCAATCTGAATCATAACTGTTAAAAAATTTTCAAAGGTCAATTTTGCATTACCTACAACATGTTTGAAGTAGCTCTTAAAAGATTTAACTCCAGTCTCCCAGAGGCCTCCAAAATTGGATGCTCTGGGGGGAAGAAAAGCTCATCTTGTTCTTTCACTAGTTTATTTAACCTCTTTAATTCTGCATTTGCGCCTACAAAATTGGTAGCGTTATCACTAAATAGTGTTAAACTTTTGCCTCTTCCTGCAAAGAAACATTTCAAAGTAGCTATTAATGCTTCAAATGTAAGGTCTGTTATCAGTTCTAAATGAATGGCCTTAGTAACCATGCAAATGAATATACACTCATAAACTTTCTGATATATACCTTTTCTCTGGTTTTTGTACTTAATTAAGAATGGGCCACAGAGGTCAACTCCAATACAATTAAATGTAAGATTAGCTGTAATTCTTTCCTTGGGTAAATCACCCATGATTTGCTGAGCTACAATGGGATTAGCTTTAAAACATGTTATACAATTTTTTACAATTTTTCTACAAACATTTCTACCACTTATAATCCAAAATTTTTGGTCTTATATGATATAACAAAGATTGAGGACCCACATGCAAATATTTTAAATGATAGTAATTAACTATTAACTCTGTTAATTTATGTTTAGAAGGCAGAATAATAGGAATTTTTTTCTCGTAAGTTAAATTGCTATTTCTTAATCTACCTCCAACTCTTAACAGTCCATTACTGTCAATGAAAGGGTTAAGATTTTTAATAGAACTATCTCTTGAAACAATACCTGATTTTTTAAGACCATTTATCTCATTTATAAAATACTCACCCCTGCACTAATTTTAATAAAGCTTCTTCAGCTGCTCTGAATTCTCCCACTTGTAAATTACCTACCTTCTTTTGTTCTTGCTTACAATTCTTACAAAACCAAAAAAACATTTACAATAAGAATTAATTTTAAATACTTATTACTGCAATTCAATAAATCATTAACAAAATTATTCACATTTAGATTTAAACATATTGATAGTTCAGAATCAGCAAAGTTTTTAAGTTCACTACTCTCCTTTTCAGTAATTGCTTCAGGTATAACTTTTATAGGGTACTCATCCTTCATTAAGAAGTCAGGCCCATGCGTTCCACCACAGTTCACTTAGTAGCAGTCTTTTGGCAGACATACCTCTAGATATGAGATCTGATGGGTTTTCTTCAGAAGCGATATGATGCCATTGTGCTATTTCAGTCAGATCCTGTATCTTTGAAATCCGGTTTGCAGCAGATGTCTTGAGCAGATGTGACTCTTTCTTGATCCATGACAGCACAATAATAGAATTGGTCCAAAGGTGAATAACAATAAGCTCCAATTTTAACGATGATTTCACTTGATGCATTAGTTTAGCTAATAGCACTGCTGCGCAAAGCACAAGTCTTGGGATTGTAGTCTTCTTTAGTGGGGAGACACGCGATTTACTGCACACCAACCTCACTGATGTATGATTTGTTGCTGATGTGGCTTTACAGTAGATAACTGCTCCATAGGCAGTCTCTGAGGCATCAGAGAAACCATGTAACTCAATCTTGATTGTATCTGGTAATAAAATACATCTATGGACTACAATGTTGTTAATTAACTGCAAAGTAGTGGAGAATTCTTTCCATTCTTTAGCCTCCTTTTCTGGCAGAACATCATTCCAGTTCAATTTTAATAGCCATAATTTCTGCATAAATATTTTTGCTATAATTATAACTGGAAAAACTATACCCAATGGGTCAAAGATGCGAGATATGACTGATGTTTGTTTCACACGGTTCAGTAGCATTACTACACCACTTATAGAGTAACATACCTCCACTCTTCAAAATGCCTATTAACTAATTTTGAAGTTCTAACGCAGAATTTAGCGACTCAGCTCCAGATAAAATATCGTCCATGTACATGTCTTCTCTCAGGTACAGGTGCTGCTAAGAGAAATTTATCTCCTTCGTCCTTTGACAGCTGTACAAGTGTTCGCATTGCTAAAAATGGTGCACTCACAGTACCATAGGTAACGGTGGTTAGCTCAAAGTTTTTAACTGGCTTATCAATGTATGCTTCTTTCCATAAAATCCTTTGCAACTTCCCCACTGATTTGGATGGATAGAAATAGCTCGATACAATCTTTTGTATATCTGCAGTGAAAGCAAAAATATATTTCCTGAATCTCAGCATAATTGAGAATAAACCATCTTGTATCTTGTATCACAGGTCACCATTATACTGTTATAGAATTTAGAGAGTTTCCTTTGGTTGTCAAAGAAGAAGCGTTAAATAATACCCTCAAGGGAGTCGACTTACTTTTCTCTTTCTCCCCTATATACTCCAATATGAGGAATGTAATATGATCCTTGTTCCTTCCTCGCTTTCACTCACCTCAACCATATGTCCTAACTGTTGATATTCTTTTAAAAAATCTGAATATAATTTTAAGTATATTCGATGATTCTTTACTAAGCATTTCCATAAGGAATTTAATTTACTCATTGCAATTTGTTTAGAACTTCTTAAAGTGTTCCGGAATCCTCCTTTAATGGCATTTTAACAACGTACCTACCGGTTTTATCTCCTATAGTAATTTTCTACAAAATGTTTCTCGCAAATTAAAGAATTCTTTGTTTTTGGATTTTATCAGTTTCAATATTCTCTAATTCCCAAAATCTTTCTTAAGAGTTTTATCTAAGTTGTCTTCGTCTTTTATCAACCCACAGTGAACCCTGTTTTCAGTCTCTGTTTGGAAATACTTCTTGACACGATAAAAAAAAAAAAAAAACTGGTGTCTTGAAAAATAAGATCAGGATCATTCATTCGAGTTTGACTTGGTTTCAAAAGTTCATAAAAAACTCCCTCTACCAATAGCATATCTATCCTTTCTGGAACATTAAATCCTTCATCTGCTGATTTTAAATTAGGAAGATCTTGCACTGAAATTTTAATTTTGCGCAAAAGTGTTAAATCAGCAGTTATTTTTGGAATTACTAAAAAGTAAATTCTTTATTAAAGTTCCTTCGTTATTGCATATCGAAGCATTAATTTTATGCTTTATTGTCAAAGTAGCATCATTTATTCCCGAAACTGAAATGTTTGTTTTTTCTTTCTCTAACTGCAAATGCTCAATAAAATTACCAACATACTGCTGCCATCCAGCAGACACTTCACTCTGTGTTTTTTCCCCTCGTTATCAGTTAAAAAACATAGGAGGGTTGAAAGCAAAACTGTATTTTGTTTATTCGAGTAATTTCTAATAAATGCCTTTTGAACGAACTCCTGCACATTAACAGGTTGATGAGTCATCTCGTTTGGGATCGTTGCAGTCAGAGACATTTGTTTTGTTTTTATTTTGTTCCGATGAAGAACATTCTCTATCCTTTACAATATTTGCTTTCGGAAAATGAATAGTTTTGTGGTGCCGCTTTTGACAAAAACAAGAATATTTTGAAGGGCAATTTGATATTGAATGCATATGTAGACAGTTAAAACATAATTTATTAGATTTCACAACCTGTAAAATACAGTTCTCTGTTTTAACATCTGACAAAAACACTTTAGCTACACTTTTTGAGCTGTTATACTTACGATTAACATGATAATTCTCAGTAAGAGGTTTTCCTCGTGACGTGAAATATAAATCTATTTCTTTATCTAACACACTAGGTGAAAACCATGAATCACCTTGCCTCACTGCAATGTGAGAAGCTGTTCCCATATCTAAAGATTGGTCTAACCTGTCTGAAACTATTAGTTGTTTGAGGGTCTTGAAGTCAGTTACCTTCCTTAATTTTAAATAATAATCCCAGGTCGTTACTAAGCATGAAGCGAACTGCACATGAGTTTCATGTGGTTGTTTAACAGTTTTTCTAAAGTTTTCTAAACACGAATATGGTGTTGGCTGAAACTGCTTCAGAATTACTTCTTTTACTTTTTCATAAATTGCGATATCCTTATCATGTAAATAGGTTATTATATTCAAAGCTTTGTCTCCTAACAGATTTAACAGAATTTCTGCTTTATAGTCCTCTGAAACATTTTTTGTAATAAACACTCATTCTAATGACAAAAAGAAAAATCCCCAACTTTCAGGCCGTATAGGAATTTTTACAGTTAAGGTCCTGATACTTTTTATTAATTAATCTAGTGGCTCTGATTTTGTTTTGGTTTCACTTACACCATCAAGTTTTGTTTCTGCTTTAAGCTAAGCCAACTCTAATTCTTTGATCTTTCAAGTTTTATTTGTTCTAACTCGACAAGTTTTTGCTCTTCTTGTTTCCTATTTTTGATAATAGAGTTTGCTATCTCTTGTACTAAATCTTGTTTAGTTTTAAAAATTTCACTATTCTCAATAATATCAGTTAAATCTAGTCATTTTTTATCAACATGTAGATTTATTTCTAAGGCAATAAGCCTTAAATCTTCTTTTTTAGCACCCCTTAAATAACATTGTTATTTATAACAGAACAAAGCACAGAATTTACAGAATTAACAAGAGAGGAATCACTTACCTCTGCAGTGATTCACTTTTGATGAATATCCTTATCCAAAATCAGCGCTATTCGTTGAAAAGAACAAGCTGGGCATGCTGGCAAACACAAACATTCCTGTGTTCTCAAAAATGAAACACTATTTATTCACGCACAAAACTCAATCTCCGGCTCCTCCGGCCAGATATGTTTGAGTCTCATCCCAAATAACACACACTATAATAAATTCGCTGGTTCAGTTCTTTATTAATTCTCATAATTAAATTACAATCACTCATTATTAACTCATAGCTGTGACCAGCCCTCGTACACCTTTGATGGCAGTTCTCAAACTGGTCTGATCATACCATTACAGATGCACATGCAGGGATTACATTACAGGTGCACAGGTGTGAACAGTCAGTTTGGTCATTTCATCCATAAGTTTTCTCACAAGTTCCAGTACTGCTTGCCAAAATGAATGATATATTGATAAAATAAAAAATCCTGAAAATATTTTTTCTGGGATAGTATTAGAATCATAAAACTTTGATCTAGTAATGGGGGAAAAATGACAAATCAGAATTGTCAGTGCTTTTGATATGTGGTAAAATGAAACAGGTCTCATTAAAAATTAAACGATCAGGTCTCATTAAAAATTAAACGATCAGGTCTCATTAAAAATTGCAGGCACATTTTCCCAGGAGGTTATATTGGCTCTTATTTCATTCATTAACAGTTGTATGTACTAGTACTTTGTAAATGAGCATCAACACATAAGACAGTGATCACTGACAGAAACATTGGTTATTAATTACAATGGTGTAAAATGTCCAGTTCTAACACCATTGAACCTTAAAACAATAGAATAATACTCTATACAGTGAAGAATTGCACACACATATGTGAACAAGGTAGTTGCTATGAAGCACTTTTACCAAAATATATTTTCCCTACTGTAAAATATGACAGAGGATGAATTCTTATGTGGGCTTGCTTTTCTTGATTTGATTTTTGTCTTCTAGGTTTCATGCCAGGAAACTTAAGAATCAAAGGTTATCAAGCAATGCTAGACAATTCTGTTCCTTCCGCTGTGTTGCAAAAATTTCAAATAAGTCCCTTTCTCCTTTAGCATGATAGTGCATATATTCATGAAGCAAAAATCTTAGATGAATATTTTGAAGAATGGGAGGGAGTTAAAAGGCATTAGTTTCTTCTCAAATGTTCCTGGTATTTGTTTTTATGTTATACATTTTCTTAGTATTCTCTTTCGTCACCTTCAAAAGTGTTGATTTGTTTAAATCTCTGTAATTTCTGTTTAACTAAGTAGACATTATCTTTATTATCATCACAAGTAAACTCTTTTCTACTTTATAAGTATATATTTGAGTTAAATTTAGAGAAACTTAACAATTTAAATTATATTGTCATCAGCTTATTGTTGTTGATAAACTGATAAAGATTCTAGTTAATAGAAGTGACCTGCAGCAGTTTTATTTAGGCCTTAAACAAGCCTGAACTTAGTCAAGCCAAGCACTTTAATGCTTAGCCTAAATTTTATTCAGACCAAGCACTTTTTTTTTTCCCCCCTTCTAAATAGTGCATGTTAGCATACTAACCAACACATTATTCTTTAAAATTCAGCCTTTATGTATGCATTTGTACTCCCATATTTCATAGGATTAGCAGTTGCATCAGGTTTACTTGATCGTGGTGCTGCTCATGTTTATGTCACTGATACTAGCAAAAAGAGCATTGGAGACCTGCATGATGCTTTAATATCAAAAGTAAGTTTTAACTTTTTTTTCTTAATGGCTTTCTTAAAAATACTTAAGTGTGTTTTCTTTTTGCAGAAAAATGTTACATTCAATATTTAAGTTGTCATGATTAAGTTCTTAACTTTCCACTGTTCTGTGTGTTAAATTATTTAGTTTATGGAATATTCCCCCCCCCCCAAAAAAAAAAAGAATTCTAAATTGTGTGTCAGAAATCATAAAATTTATAACATTTTAATAATAAATGTATTATGTTTTTACTTAATTTTCCAATACATATGTAACAAAGAATACATTCTCAATAAAGCACAGAACATTCAGCATTTATTTTCTATTGGTAAAAATTTTAATTTAAATTTTTATGTAGTCATAATCATAATACCTAATCCATTAGCTTGTTCTTAATCTATTAGAATCGTAGTATTTAATCCATTAGTTTAGACTGCCTATTCTTAATCCATTAGAATATTTGCCAGTTGCTCTAACTAATCCTTTTTTGCTTTACCATCCGAAAGTCAGTTCAGCAGATGTCAAGAAGTGTTAAAATAACTTGACAAGTTGAAAAATCAGAAGACAAGAATCTAGGCAAAAGGTCAGCGTTAGGACTCACAAATTTTATGAACCAGATTGCTACCCAAATAAGTGATAAACTAACCATAAATTGCCAAAATAAATATTATTATTCTATCTCATTTATCAGTTCTGCTGAAACAGTACAAGCTGGCTGAATCCTGTTACTTCAAACAATCAATAATTTTTGCATATGTAGGCTTAACTTACTGCTAAATCAAAAGTTTCCCCCCATCCTTATGCAATTTCTTGTATTAACAACAGCAAAAATGTTGAAATGTTGTAATGTTAAATATAGTTAAATTGAAATGTTAATATGTTGAAAGAATTGTGCAAAATGTAAAATCCATAGAAATATGTGTATGTATGTATATATGTGTATATTGTTTTAAAAACGTGAACAATTTTCATTGTATTTTTGTAATGTAGGTATTGTGTATTTAAAAAATATAACTGCAGTTAAATTGTCTTTAATCTTGTGTTATGTATATATATTTATAGAGATTTGTACTGAAATTTAATTAAGAGCATTTACTGTGTGAAAAAGAAATTATTATGATTTTTTTCCCCCTTTCTTGTTTTCCTCCAGGCAAGAGGGCGTTTAAAAACTGAAAAGGTACCAATAGGTGACAATAACATAATTGGATATGATTGTGACATTTTAGCACCTTGTGCTGTTGGACATGTAAGTACTCCTGTAAAAGATATAATTGATCTACAAATGGTGATTATTATTTAAAATCTTAAAATAATATTTTGCATTAAATAAAATTTTAAATTCGCTTATACTCTTCATAAAATTTCATCATTGTCTGTGAATATAGTGTCAGTAGTTTGTTTTGATTTTCTCTATATTGTGGTTATCTTGTTATTGTGAGATACTAATTAAATAGTTTTTTTATTATTAATTCTGAAAATGATGGCAGTTCAGTGAATGCAAATATGAAGACTAGAAGTACTGAATTATTTTCTGAACTGAGTAGTGCAGTACTAGATAAATACAGTAGATTTCTGATAATCTGCATACCTTGAAACCAGGGGTTGTGCAAATTTCTTACTACTAATGTAAACTGTAACAGAACCTGCATTTGTCAGTGTATTCTGGCACCATTCGCTAATGATAGTTGATTGATTGCAAGAGTAAAAATTAAACCAGCCTTAATACACTAATGCAGGATACAAGAGTGTGCTTCTAACCAAAAAAATCTGCTGAAGAGTTCTGTCAGTCATAACCTACATGCTGTTCAAAAAAAAAAAAAAAAAGGTATAAGAAATTGATTGCACGTTAGCAGAAAATTATAGTATTACTCATTTGTATAATAAAAACATGAATTTTGCACAAGAGATTTTTCTCAGAGATTAAAATTTAAACACATTATGAAAAAAAGTTCTGCAAAGAGATTTTCTACACAATTAACCTGTTTGGGACGGCAGCCCGCGGAAGATAGCGCTGCCTCAGGACGGGAGCTGTTACACACTGACTGTGCTTACAAGCCAGGGCATTTTCTCCCACTAAGCCTAATATGCAATTTCGGAAAGTATACTTTATATAATAATGGATAAAATGTACACTTTACGTAAAAATGGAACCATTTTTAAATATGTGAGTAACACTATCATAATTTCAATCATAACAAAAAATTTAATTAAAATAATTGATATTTAACAATAAAAATATAAATATATTGTATTTTACTATAACTAAAAGTACCTAAATTAAACACACAAAAAATGTAAAAAACAAAATATAAAAAACATTAAAAATATTTACACTTAACATTATAAAATACTTGAAGAATATTGTAATAATTAGTAATATTTCAATGCCGTACGAAAAATCTCAAAACATGGATCAATGCAGAGACTGACACTGCATTATTATCATGCATTAATTTCAGTCATGCTTGTCTATTATTATCATCTTCTAATTCAGAATCTGAAGATTCAGAACTACTATATGAAGAACTCCAATAATTTATAGTTGTTTCACTGTTGTCCTCTGAAAGATTCCATAGATGGATCATTCATAACTTAAAATATTTCCTTCTCAGAAAGATAATGTAGTCTTAAGCCATAGTTATAAAAATGAATATAAAAGTAAAAACCATTCTAAAATATCTCCCATAAAATCCCATCCTAAAATAGAATCAAATAATCAGATGAATGATTTAGATTTATTGTCATCAAAAGACTTTGAAAAGAGATGACCAAAAGAAAGAAGACAGCCCCATTCTGACCTCAGAGAGAGAGAAAAATACTATTAATATACGAGAGCAATCTTTTGAATGGAACATGGGTTAGTAACGCCATCTGTTAGTAAATATTTCATTCCAAAAGCACGACACAACTGTGCAGGGATCGTCTCGCTGTGTAGGATGCGGCGTTAGGCTCTGAAGGGCATTTAGTGCTGACGCATATTTGCTGCATTCGTCCCGAACAGGTTAAGAAATGTTTAACTTTTAATCAGATAAATTTATTGTCATCAAAAGATTTTCCAGTAATTAAATCCTTATATCTAATGATTTACTTTTAATTATTGAAAAAATTCCGTTCTGCAATTTTGTATCTTTTTATTTTTCTTGTATATCACCCATTTAAATGACATACTTTTGTTGTTGCCTTCTTTCTTATGTCTGTTTTTTATTGTGGTGGAATGTACATTAAAATGCAAATAATTTTTTTACAATTTTACAGAACCTATATGTTAACAACTGAAAACTACTTTTTATGGAAGGAGTGTATTCAAAAACAAATTACTACATTTTAATTACTACAACGGCATCATTTAGATATGACTTTTAATTGCTAGTTAATGAAACTCTTGCCAATTTACTATTAAATACAAAATCCCTTTAAAAAAGCTAATAGCGTCAGATAATTTTCACTTTGCTTTCTACATTAATCAAAAATTATATCAAATTTTGTAAAACAGCTAGCTTATGTATATATAATATTTTTTAACTTGCTGCATTTTAATCTTATCTTTTGTATTCAGCTCTGTCATCTTATTTCATAAGCTTTAGAGTGCTATCTGTATACATTCATGTTACTACTGCTCATTATTAACTGTACTGGTATATGATGTTTTATAATCTAATGTACGCAGGATTAAACCAACTATGCAATCTTATAAATTAGATAATAATTCTGTTCTGCCATAAGTTTTGCTTGGTGAGCAATATTTCTTTCTACTAATAGAACTGAAAACTCTGGATTAGGCATATGGTAGAATACCAACGATATGGAACCACTTAATCTGTAAAGAATTGTAACTCATATGCAGTTTCAGATGTAAACAAACAAAATTTCATTTTTCTGAAAATTCAGCATAGTAGTGGCATTTTTTCCCTTTAGTGTAACTGTGGAAATAAAATTTGTAACAATATATAAAACATATTTTGATTTTAAAAATGATTTCATTTTTGAAGTAAATTAAAATCTACTGTGTACCTCTCTTCTTATTCTTAATAATGAATTTTAATAAATTTTTTATGTTAGATAAATAATAATGTTTGAGCATGTATTCCATTGTCATTTAATGTTAATTTTGAGTGTATGTATGATTACCAAGAATTTATTAATTGAGAGGTTTTTTTTTTTTTTTTTTTTTTTTTTTTTTTGAAAAGATTTCCAAGTGGCACTCTTACATCTTGACAGACACATCATATAATATTGAATGAAAAAAGTACTTAGCTCCTGTTTCATAAATACTATGTATACTGTCTATTTTGCATTTTTAGTTGTACAAGCAAATAGATGGGACCTCTTTGTACATACTTCTATCAGAATGAAGCAAAAATGTAACTAAGTGCATCGGCAAATATGCAACAGTGTTAAATTTCTCTCATTAGTGGAACTCCTGGTGCCAACTAGTGAGGGGAAGAAATACTTTAAACTGAATTCCTAGCATACTTCACCTTTAACTTAGCCAGAAACTAAATACAAAATTAAATTTACACTATTATTTAAAAAAATAACAAAATAAACAAGAATACTAAAGAATGAAATTTATTTTCATTCACTTTGCCTTTACAGTATTGTCCAAATATTTCTCAAAATCTAATTCATCAATAGAAGGGGATGATAGAGACTCAGTTGCAATGTCTGCAGTATGACTGCTCTGATATGAATACTCTAACTGGTCTGAGAATAATTTCATTCTTAGTGAAAATTTATAGATAGCTAGCTTTCTTTGCCTTTTTAATTTGTTCGTCATCCAACAGAATTTTGTGTTCGGGATCTACATATATTGAATTCAAGAAGATCTCATTGTCTAGCAAACAAGTTTCTCTTTTCTTCATTGAGGAAATGACTTATTTAATAAGTCATTTCCTCAATACCTCTCTTTTTAGAAAAAACGAACATCACATTCTTCCATTCTCGCAGAAACAAGCCTTTGTTAGTGGAAAGAAAACGGTGTAGAAAGAAGAGTTTCCAATTCTGCAACATCATTCTACAGTCTTTCTATTAGTGAAGCATTAGGGTTATCTAAATCTTCTAAAAAAGATCTTAATTCTAACAACCCCTTTATCATCACATATGTACTTCCCTATCACGTTGCTTGATTGCTCCTTTACCTGCTCACCTCCTAAGAATGGCACCAATTTTGAGAGTTCTTGCTGCTAGCCTAAATTTACCAATGAGATTTGTACCATGAGTTTCCTTCAACCCGTCTCTAACAGCTATTTGCAAGGTGTGGATAGCACAATGCATTTGCTTGATTTCGCAGAGTTTTGATGACTCTTCAGCAAACATCATCTAATTATCATCCATCCTTCTCCCTTATATTTATTTATTAATGTATCAAACTAGGAAATAACTAAATGTTTTATTGATGTATATAGTCCATAAATAAAAATAACAACTCTGTTTGCCCCCCCCTTTTATCCCAATTCACTTAATTTCATTTCAAATTCAAACTGTCCAACAAAAACTACAGTCGGAGTCGGCGTGTTTTTAGTGAGTCCAGCTCTTATTCCTTCTACACAAAAATCTGCCTAACTCCCGACTTCACAGCTCTGGTTAACACCCTAAACCACTTTTGCATCATACCTTCACTCATCATCGCGTTCTGTCTGCAAGTTTCACTTATCTGACAATAAATTTCACAGGGTTGAACATTTCTCGCATTCAAAAACTTAATAATGGCTCCTTTTTTGATAGCTGGTAGGCCGACTGATTGTTGTAAACATAATTATCAACAAACAAATTGGCTAGGTTAATTTGTTCTCGAGTTGAATGATGTAACTATGTGCAACCTTCTGCTGCCAGATGTGCTGGATATATGTGCAAACAGGGCTTATATTCTGCATCAGCAAGTATAAATTAAGCTAATGAATGCTGTTTGAATTCAACTGTTCATGAACAGATCCAAATTATTGGGTCTTTCTAAAGATTTAATAATATTTAAAATTGTTAGCAGTGCAATAAATTTATGTGGAATTTATAAATTTTAATCATTTAAATTTTAGTTTTATAACTTTAAAATATTTTTCAAATTTGCATTTCTTTTGAAGGTTTTGACACCAGATACAATTTTAGATATTAAAGCCAAAATAGTATGTGGATCTGCTAATGCTTTGGTGAAATCAGATGAAGATGCTAAGCTTCTGGCAGAGCGAGATGTTACTTATGTTCTTGAGTATATACCTAACAGAATGGTAAGATTATGTTAAATATAATAATACAAACTTTATTATGCTTTGTGCACATTTAAAATAAGTTTTAATATATAAGAAAAAACGGGGAAATAACACCTTAAAATTTGTAGAAAATATTTCAGAATTTTATTCAACAAAATATTACCTATTTTTGCTTTATCATATTCTATTCCATATCTAAGTTTTATCAGCATTTTAATGTGTCATAAATTATCTAGTGTTTAATATTTTGGTAATTTTTTGTATCTGTTTGTTTTAACACATTAAGTGCCAATGACATGTCTTAAGCGTGCAATGTATTTCATTATTAAAAAATGATGAGGGAGGTATGTTATTGTCACAATGCATCAAACAAATGTCAAATGCTCACTAATCAAAATGTTATAAGTACTAATGATAGTTCAGGATATATAAATAATAATGCTTATGAAATCTAATTGGCTGTTACAAAAATATTGCAGCAAGATTTTGGTAAAATATTGTCAGAAATCTAGTTTAAAAAGTGCATAAGTTTTTCCAATATCTGCAATGGCAAATGACATCTGCTTATAGTGTCTGAATAAAACTCATTATATTATTTTGTAAGCTATTTTACTAATAATTAAAATTAATCTGATGATTTCTTTACTGTGTAAAAACTTTCAATATAAAAAGTTATTATTTATTAAATTTTAAATTGTCAGCCACACAGTAAAAGGCAGCAGAATAAAAGGTCAGCTATCAGTCAGTAATGATCAGCACGACCTGATTGAAAGTGCATTATCAGTCACTGATAGTTATTAATTTTCTATATTTAAATTGCAAGTTAGAATAGAATGTATTTCATATGTTATGTTTTGTAGCTACTTCACCTAGCATAAAATTTTGTGACTTCTTCCAGTTTGTTATGCTTTAATACCATTCAAACCCAGAACTGTTCTGTTTTAAATTTTTATTAAAAGTGTGTGTATGTGTTTTTCCCTCTTCTCGTATGTTGCTTTTTATAGTTAGTAATACAGCTGCCCTTTCATTTCAAAATATGGATATTTCAAAGAATAAATTTATGTTTCTAACATTAATTTTTTATTTAGATTTTTGGGTTATTAATTATATAACAATTTATAACTATTATTATAGGCTTTTGTAAATGCTGCATATGAGAATTATGGTCGAATGTACAAGGATCCTATAATAGAACGACATTTTGATAAAGAGTGGGAACATTCGGTTTGTATTTTAAACTGACTTGAAAGTTATGTACTTATGTTATAAGCTTCGATAAGCCGAACTGAATGTGGAAATGGTACAAAATTAATGTTAAATTTTCTTGGTAGTGAATGTTTTTAATTACTCCAAATCTTTTTAGCTTCATTCAGTTTTGACTTATCAAAGTTTGTATACTTATTTATTTGTTTTTAATTATGATAAAAATTTAATCTATGCCAAAAATAAGAATTTTGAATCAGTGTAAGCATTTTAAGCCCTCTGAAAAAGTACAAAAGCTGCCGTTTAACATTTTAAGTACTCTCACAGACTCTCTCTCTATATCTATATATCTGCATAAAGTTGCAAAAAAATTGTAGGACTGAAAAAGGCATTTCAGTTAACATTGTGAAATGTAGTAGATATCAAAATTTTTTCCTTCAGTTTCTAGTAGTCCCAAAAACATTTTGATGATTAAAAACTGAATTCCACTTCATTGGCCTGTTATACAAAAATAAGATAAATGTGTGAATTGCCTTTATTTCCTGTCTTATCAACCCAGTTCAAATAATAAGATAGAAGAATGTAACTTGATTCTTGAAGATTTCTAAAATTTAAAAAATTCTGAAATTGGTTGGAAATTTCCTCTTTTACAAATATTCTTGTATCTATTCCAGAAGTTTTGCTAGAGGGAACTCATACCTGCAAGAAAACATTCAGGAATGAAGGAATATAATTTGTATTTGTTCATACCTGTTTATTACACCAAAGAATAATATTTAGGGAAACCATTTTAATAGTAATGTTAACATATATAATCGTTAAATCATTAAAAGTTTTCTTCTCATTTTCAGAAAATATCAAATAACAATAATATATTTTTGTATTATATACATTCATTTATCCCATCATACAGTTGTGGTGAAGTTGAACATCAGGATTTTTAAAATCTAAATAGAACAAATATCAGCTAATTTATGCATGTAGTTGTTAAACTGGTCAACTGTAATACCAGCAGTGGTTGGGGGGGGGACTTTTAAAACAAATGAAACAGGATAATGCACCACTGAGCATTCCAAGTAAAATTAACATGTAAAGAGTCAGAGATTTCCTTGAAAGCGAGTTTGCTCTAATTGCTTTACTTGAAAGGGCTTGTATTTATTTCTGTAGATTTAGAAACCTAATTCCCTCTTTTAATTGAACAGTTATAACTGCACTTTCATCATAGCAGTTTCAATGCCACGAGTCATCAGGTAGGCTGGAAATTTGAAAGATGTTAGATTATCATGGAAGATTCAAAAATTTTGAATAAAATTTGAAAGCAAAGGTAATACAGTCAAAAGTCGTTAATCCGGACTCGTTGGGACTTCGGCGATTCCGGATTATCGATTTTTCCAGATTATAGATCATCAGTTTAAATCTGGTAAGATGGCATGCAGAAATTATAAAATTAAAAATATGAAACCGTAATTTATGAAATAAACAACAATTATGATCTAAAGGGTATCAAAATTTACAAAAAGAAAAAGCTTACTATTTATTTGTTTACTTTATTAAACATTTCTTTCAATGTAAGTTGTTTAAGTTGCTTCGTTTCATGTGATAATACTTTCTCTTTAATTCTATTAAACAGACATAATTTCTTGTTTGGTTACAAAGTTCCGCTGTTCAAGTACTATAATTGCTGTGTCGAGAATACCGACTAATTTGTCAATCAAAATTTTTTCGTTTTCAGTAACCTGTGTCACTTTCTTCACTATCGGAAGCCAATTATAATGACGAGGAGCTTGTTTTAAATCATATCAAAGGAGTACATCGAGATGAAATACTACATTTAGTAAGGAATTATAAGTCAAATAATATAAAAACATCTGCTCTGAAGATAAGGATAGTGCTGACAGATCAACTTCGAATTCATTGCGCGCCGCGTCGTTTCCCTCTCCAAGCAGAGCGGCGTGAAATTGATAAACATATTTTGGAATGATTAGATAATCAAAGCATATACCTTTATCCATTTTTTGCAGCAATTCCACTTTCTGTTTAATGGACTTCGAAACATACTTTCGCTTTTGTAGATCCTTTACATATTAGTAAATATATATCGGAAATTCTATTTGGCATAATCGAAAGTTCAAGCTTACTGTTATAAAATTGCTATAACAGTCTGCAAAAAATAATAAGCCGGATCCAATTCGAAGATTAAGGAACAACGCAATCTGCAACATTAACTGAATTAGATAATTTTAGCTTAGCTTATACCGTCCGTTATACATTAAACGCGCATGCGTAAACGTATTATGCGCATGCGCACATGCATATTTGCAGCCGTAAACTTGATGCATGCGCAGAAAGTTTGTAGCTTTGAGGTCCGGATTATAGATCATTCTGGATTATGGGTGTCCGAATTAACAACTTTTGACTATATTGTATTGAGATAATATGATTTATCTTAACAGGCAACACTATTCTCACATATGTATTTTGAGGTAAAATCAGACTTTTTCAGAAATGGCATAGTTTCTTCCATTTGATTCTACTTCTGAAGCTGTCTCAAAGTGTGAAGTTTTGTAAAAATAGCCCCAGCAGTGGTGGTTTTTTTTTTTTTTTTTTTAAGCATTTAAAATTTTAGCATTGCAGCTTTAAGTGAATCTGGTATATATTTAAAAGTATTGGTTTTTAATTAAACTTACTTGATTTTTTCTTTCATGTGTCAAAATTTAGGTTTAATCCAAATAAAAAAATTCAGACTTTTTTCTCCTGATTTATCAAAAAAAAAATTTTATTATTAAATAACTTTTATGAATTTTTGAAGAAAATTTTTAATTATAGCATTGTACACCATGTCAAAGTAAGTACAGTACAAAGTATTGCAGTTTAAGTGAATGGCAGCTCATTTTTTATTGTGTTTGTCATGAAAAGTGGAACTTTATTTCATGTGTTTTATCTGATAAAAGTCAGCTCTCTCTCTCCTCTCTCTCTCTCTCTCTCTTTTTTTTTTTTTTTTTTTTTTTTTTTTCCTATGAGCAATCTAAATCTGTTACTGAAATGATAAAACTGAGTATTCATTTTGTAATTTTAGATATATTTTCTTACTCAAAAAACCTTGAGAATGGCTGCTGAACAAAATATAACTGTTGTTGAAGCTGCCTATCAGCTGGCAGATGCTTACAGTCAGCAGAAACATCCCTTATGGCCTGACAGAACTAAGACTATCATTCAAAATCTTATAGCTGGGAAGTGGCATCATGGACAGGATTTTTGGCGAAAACGTAGGAACTTTGCTAAAGCTGATGACTGTTCATAACATTTTTTCTTAACTGTTTAAGGAAAGCAAAACCTTATAAAAAAATGCCATAGTGATAAACCTTTGTTAAACAACTAACTTGAGAGGAGGGGTTGAAAAGAATCTCAGAGTATGTTGTAGATCTTTTTATGTCTTTCACATTTTTATAACTGCTAGTTTAAGTTTTTTTTAAATTTTAAACATATTTTAGAGTTTTTATGTTTTCCATTGTAGAAAAACTATTCTGCCTATTAAGGAAAATACTCATGAATGAAATTTACATTAAATTTCTAATCGTGTACCTACAATATTTTCTGTTTTACAAGTTAAGATTTTTTGTACGTTTATGAGTGATTAGTACTGTGTGTAATTAAAATGAAATGGAAAGAAAAATAGTATTTTTGTTCTAAATATCTGTTAATTTTCAGTTTTGTCTACAGTACATAGTTTTGCTGTACACTTTTAAATATTCCTGACCCATTCAATAAAATGATCAAAATTTTTTTAAATGGTAACATATCTGATGAACTTAATTTTAGTTTTCAAAGCTATTTTTAATAAATAATTAGGCATTTTCTTTTATATGCACTTGTACTGAAATATTGGGCTGAAAATATGCAAATGAATATATAATAAACCTGATGGTTCAATTCAGCAGCCCCTTCTGCTTATGAAATACATTTTGAATGCATTTCAGATTTGTATGTAGTTAAGATAAGTTTGTTTGATTTGTTTTGTTCAGTTTTACATTCCTAGCATTTTTCCAGTATGTTTTAAGTTATGTAAAAAATAATGTATACTTAAAAACTGTATTCATACAAATGTGTTAAAAATAAATTTTTCTAATTGTTGTATTGCCTTCTGTATGTATTCGTACTGTTTTATTAATTGTATAGCAAGCATTTATTCTTATATTGTTATTTGCGAAATATATATATATATATATTTCCAATGGCAGATTATGAACAGTTACAGCAAAAAAACAAGAACAAAGAACATAGAATACAGCAATACAATGAAAAAAAAACGCTGTAACAGAGTCCATTAATCTAACCTATCTTTTGCCTAGAAAAGTCTTGCGCAGAGCAGGACAGTGGGATAGATGTGCGACATCCATCACCTCTCCAGAGCTGCACAGAGTGCATATCAGAGAAAGAACAATTTTGAATCTATGAAGATGATATTGTAGGCAGTCATGTCCAGTGACAAGGCTGAATTCAGCGACCTCTCTACACCTTGGGCCATTACACAAATTCGGGATAGCATTCTTCCAAGACTTATGAGAAACACGATTAAAGAGATCGATTTGACCACGTACTTTGATAGATCTTTTAATAAGATCTCTAGCAGTATGGAAAGGTAAAGGAGGAGAAATATTCTGCATGATTAAAGCACCCTTTTTTGCCAAGCATTCGGCTTTCTCGTTACCTGGAATCCCACAGTGGGCAGGAATCCACTGGAGGACTATAGTTTTCTCAAGTGAAGCCAGGTTTTGTAGATAATGTCAACAATCCAATATGTTCTGTGATATGGGATTTTTATCTGAAATGATAGCCAACATGCAGCTTGGGAATCACTGAGTTCTTGTGAATTTTTCAAAGTGGCATGGTAGCTGGTACATAGCTGTGCGAATCGCAGCAATTTCACTGTCAAATGCAGAACCTCGTTTCACAGGGATGTAGAAAGAGAAAATTTCGGAGAAAACTCTGGCACCTGCATTAGGGCCATCAGACAGGAGGGATCCATCAGTAAAGATCCGAAGCCACTCTGGCTCAGGGTAAAAAATATTTAATACTTCGAAAGTGAGGGCTCTCGAAATAGAGGGATCCGTATTACGTTTCGTTACTTTTTGACCCAGGTCAAGATTAATCCAGAAAGATTTCAAATTTATTGGATTTTGTAGTGGAACAAGTAATTCTATTTCATTCATTAAACCAAGTGAATTTTTCAACTGAAAAACTCTCTGTAGAAAGCCCATCTGGGTCTTTAGATTTCTAGTCAGATCTTGATTGACTTCATTCCAGAGTGAGACATCCAGGAACTCGAATGATCTTTTCCCAGAGAATTAAGGCCCTCTCTTGGATTACTGTTCTTAAGGGTTTATCACCAGTTAACATAAACATGGCATCAATCGGGGTGGTCTTCACGGCTCCAGGAACAATACGTAAGCACTGATTTTGAATTTTTGCTAGAGTGTAGAGTACATTTTCTACGGCCACAACAAGTGGTTCACAGCAATAAGTCAGAAGGGGGAGGATAAATGAATGATAAGTTTGGAGCAGGGTTTGTGCAGTGCAACCCCACCGTGCCCCAGCAAGGCGTTTAAGGACACTGAGTCTCTTTGTAGCATGGTTGTACAAGTCCTCAACATGTGGCTTCCATGTTAATTTGCAATCAAATGTCACACCCAAATATTTAAATTTATCGCACAAGGGGATTTGGGTACCCTTATACTTAAGCTGAAGATTCAAAGATTGGTGCATGAGTGAGAAAGTCAGGTAGTATGATTTATTTAAGTTCACCTCTATTATTAGTATCACACCAAACTTCCAAAGCATTCAAGGCAGCAGAGAGTTTAGTCTCTATGAGTAGCTACTAACAGCTCCCTGTGGGAGACCTGTTTTTAAGATCTTAGATTTCGATAGAGCGTTGCCGTACCTGACTCTGAAAGAGCACTGGCACAGGAAGCCTCTAATCCAATTAAAAAGATTTGCTCTAATGATGCCTAGTCCAGATAGTTTCAGTAGAAGGCACTCCCTCCGTACTTTGTCGTAAACAGACTTGAAGTCAATAAAAACTGCGGTCAGGACCTGTCTATTATCCAGGTCGTCCTTGACACATTGACTCAGGAGAGCAACATGTTGATTAGTAGATCTGGAGCTTCTAAACTCCGCCTGCTCCTCGGCAAGAAGTCTGCAAGTTTCTAAGTGATAATTAAGTCTTCTCACATTTATTTTCTCCATAGCCTTTCCCATAATACTAGTAAGCGATATTGGTCTATAGTTAGAGACTATCCCGATCCCTGTCCTTCTTATGTATGGGAATAATGATAGAAGTTCGCCATTCAGCTGGTACAATACCAGTGTTCCAAATTAGATTGAAAAAGATCTAAACAGTCTCAAATGCTTTAAGACCAAGATGGTGGAGGAATTCGGAATGGATTCTATCTCCACCAGGTGATTTTCCACAAGGAAGGCTTCTCAAAGCATAGGTCAACTCATCTCGAGTAATGGGTGCCTCAAAAACTGAATCAATAGAAAATTAAATTCCGATTGCAGGAGTGTAGTTTTTTGCTTAGTTCTGGACGAATGTATTTTTGTATAAGTGTTTTTTTTTTTATTAGCTTTACAGAAATGCTGTGCAAAAGCATTCACTACAGAAGAATCTGAAGAAAGTTGTTTATCTTTAACTATGAAGGTTTGTTTAGGTAAGCCAGCAAGATCATTCATTAGGTTGCCTACAAATATAAATGTTCTTTTACTATCAGTTTGGTAATTTATTTTTGAAATAAATTCATTAAATGAGGATCGTTTACTGGCAATAAGGGTCTTTCAAAAGTATGCAGATTGTTTTCTCCAAGCCTGAAGATTGCAGGGTCGGGAGGTCAACTCTGCCTTTCTTCTAAGCCTGTCTCTCTTAGCTTTCAGGGAGGTCAGTTCATCTGTCCAGAAGTATTTATATTTCTTTTGCCTACCTCTAGCACAAGATATCATGGACTTTCTAGCACAAGATATCATTGTATCCTTGATAATTCTATAAACTTTATTAGGATTTTAAGTAAAGTTTATTATGATTAAGGCCATGTTCCATCAATTCAGTAAAGAGAGGCCAATTCGCTTTCTTAAAATTCCAAGAGACCTTTGATGGTGAAAAGGGTATCCAATCCAGTTTGGGTATTTTAACTTCTGCAAGCACCTGTCTGTGTCTTGATCCAGGATCTTTCAAGACGCTATGCTTTGTGAGATTGTAAAGGTCATCAGTGACCATCAACAGATCTGGGATTGTACATTTACCAGTATAATGCAGATAAGTATGGGGATCCTTTTTATCGTATATTAGTTTAAATGCAGTCGACCTCAAGAGGTCCTGGACACTCCTTCCAGCTTCATTTGTGTCAGAATATCCCCACATGGGAGAATGAGCATTAAAATCTCCTAAAAAAATAGAATGTTTTAAATGATTAACATAGGAAAAGTCTGGATGGTTACAAGGAGGGCTGTATAGTATAGCTAGAATTTTAAAATGAACTCCACATTTCCATATATCCAAATATACGACTTCACTCCTATCCCCATCAACACCCATCTCTTTTATGATATGAAAATCAGCTGTTAAATCTTTCTTGATACCAATTAGTATACCACTGGCAACTTTTCTAAATTTTGTAAGTACATGAAGAGAATATCCTTTAAAAGGGTAGTATTTTAGGTTTTTGATAGTCAAATTAGCTTCCATGATAATAAAGACATCAATGTCCTTTTCACACAGAATCTGCAAAAGCTCTGGGCACTTGGATTGGGACAGTCCGCCAGCATTCCACTGTAACACACGAAGGAGGAGGAGACATAATGCCAGTTGTAGATCTTTTAGCCACTATAAAGTGTTACCAGGTGCACCACGAGGAGGTAGATCTACAGCACGGTCAATATTCTTTGCGGAATATTGGCCATGATTTTTTGACTTTTGTCATCAGTTTTTCACCTTCATAATTTTAGGAATATAATTCAATCATGTTTTGTTTATGCAATTGTAAATATAAAGTTTCTATCTCAATCTACGCAAAATTATATCTACATTCATGCAGTAAGATTCAGTTTTTAAACAGGGAACTTACGTTTGCAGTCATAAAAACTTGGGACTATTTATGTATCAAATTAAAGTGAATGTTTAACAGTTAAAATTCTGTAGAACTCATAAATATTAAAATATTTTTATTTCTTTTTAATATTCAATTATTAATCATTTTGAGTATTACTCTGTGCAGGTTTTAGTTTATCATTCTACCTCAAAAATTGCCTGCATAGCGTTTAGTAAACTAAAATGGCAGTGGGCTCAGATTCTGAAAATGTAAGCGTTTCATTCCAAATTACAAGAAATTCTGCTAAATCAAATTAGAAAATTAGGAAAAAAATATTTTCTATGAATGGTCTTTTTAGTGAAGCAACATAAAAATGAAAAAAGTAAAGTTGCATAAAAATTTATGAATGATTTATAACTAGAAAATTATTAAGCATGCCTTGCATTCATAAACTACAGTTTGATATGGATGGCTAAGCTGTGGGTGTTCTAGCCTTACTAAAGAGGAAAATATTCTTATTTTTTATGTTATTCTTTCATCTTATGCAAACAGTATATTTTAACTTTATATACAAGATAATCTCCCATATAATGCTAGAAAACTGTGAACAGTGTGCTGCGAGTCATTAAAAAAAAAAAAAAAAATGTGTAAATAAAGCAGGCTGGCTTACTTCCACATTTCTAAATTATAGTTTATTATTTTATATCAAAATTTGAATTTCACAGCGTAGGACAAATTATTCTTAAGTGATATACATTATATTGCCTTCATTATGTCACCTGAACACTCTTCAAGAAACTGCTTAACTGAAATTGGTATGGTATCAGTATAGTGCATGTCCATTATTCATCATCCTTTACCATTTAAGAAAGACTTTCCACTAAATGTTATCCACTTAGTAAATGTCTGCAGCCATTTCTTTTCTCCCTTTACCTCCTGCAACATGATATACAGTTCTGTTCTGGTTTGTCTGGTTATTATTTGATGTAAAGAGCATCCCAAATATGCTAAACTAAAATCAGAACTTTGGGCCAATTAGCCAAGTTCATTCATTCCTTTAGATTTAGGCAGATAACCCTAATGTGCTTTGCCATAATCTGCCAAATCGAAATCTTTTTGATTTATAAAACATGTATAAGACACTATTTCTAAACAGTGTGATTTAGCACCAGATGTAATAAATAAATGTGACATCATAACACAATTATATGATCTTACTTTGGTTTTTATGTAAATCCAATCAGTTTCTAATGAGCCAGTTTAATGTTTTTAATGAGGGGTGTAAGTTAATTATTACTTCATCCTAAAGGTTCTTCATTTTGCTATTATTATTTTGTTGCTGGAAGGAATACCTAAGTTTATAACCTAACCTACCTAAGTTTATAATATATATATTATTAACTTAAATAAACCTAAGTTTGAATCCCAGAGATGGCATGAATATTTGTAATCATATAGTGTCTGTGCAGCAAAGGAACCTCAAAATGCACAGCGAGCCAAAAATCTTTTCGAGAGGGTGGTGGTAGGAGAAAAAGAGTAGGAAACTCTCGGACTGTGCCATGGGGTGTTCTGCCTCAAAATTGGAGCAGAACTGCACAGTTAGTTTGGTGGGACTGTACCTGTATGCCAAATGGTGAGTTTCTGGTGTCCCATCTACTCTTACCTGTATCTGCTAGTAAGGAGTAACCTTGATTATGGCAAATGTTTAAATATGATCATTTCTGCTTATGTTACATAATTCTAGCATGTCGCATGATTTTACTCTCACTGCATTGCTAAGAATGAAGAGCCTGAAACTTCATTTTAGTCATGCTGTGCCCTTTTATTTTAAAGGGGAAAAAAATGCTAGTTGGACTGTTTGTAAAGTTTGTGTTGTATGTGGACAAAGTACTGTTTCTATCCTCTGACCTATTAGACGAAGCTCCCACTGAAAATCCTGTTATGCAGTTCAAATCAAACAGAATAAATATTACAAACATACAGTATATAATCATTTGAAAAAGATAGGATATAGAAGCTGCTATGATGGGTATTTCATACTTTAACAGGGCAGAATACGTTTGCTTTAGTTTTGGCATGTGATTTTTTGCCAAAAAGAAAGCTCCTTTTTATTAAATGGCTCATTATTGGAGACAAGTGGAATGCATACCTTAGGCAGTGGCCAGAGCAAGACTTTAAAACTTACAGCATGAATTTTCATGCCAAAGAGTCTTACTGCATTGTAGATTTCCTTGCCTTTAGGACTGCATGGAAGATTTACAAAGTAAACTTGAATGTTGTGGCAGTGCACATTCAAGGTACTTAGGTACTGGCAACAAGGGCAATTGCCTGGGCACGATGAAGAATCTTCACCTTCTCCCCTTAGAAAAAATAGTGAAAATATTTTTTCAATCTGAATTTTTTAACACTTCTATGTAAATATCATTTGGATTCAGATTCCGACAATCTGTGAGCTATAGTATTTCTTATTGCCTTTTTGTTATCAGACACCAGCATTTTACTTCAAAAATTATATACATTTTTTTCAGCACCAAACAAATATCGAATTATAATCAGTGTTTTGTTATTTGTTTCTGAGACTGTTGTGATTTTTACTTTCTGCCACTTATAATGATGGACCATAGTGCTTTCTGTAGACTATTTATATTTGTCTCATTTTTCTTGCTTCTAAAATTGAGAAAAGACTCCAAGATAGTTATTCAGCTATGAAAACAGAGAACGATGTCTTGAACAAGAAGAAACAGCCAAGAAATATCCAAAAGTATCAAATTTTAAAATCCTAACTGAACAATGCAGGCTCAACTTCTTCAGCTACATATATGTTATCTTATGATTGTGAGGTCAAACCTAATAAAAGTACCAACTTTCTGAAAAAAATAATACGGCATGCATGAATTAAAAAATCAAGATCAAAACTATAATGTGGTTGAAAGCTTAGGCAAGGATGGGCAAATTCTTTTAACTGCCGACCAAAAAGTCTTTTTTTTTTTTTTTTTTTTTTTTACTGCATAATGTGAGCAGGGCAGTTGCAAGGTGCAATGGTGCTTGTACGAAGATCTTTAGTGGTGCTGCCTCTGTTGTTTCTCAGAACATGATGGAGGGGAGAACACTCTTTCCAGGTAAGTTGAAATAGAATTTATGCACGTAATTTCAATATTTTTATTTTAACTAAGTCCCTAGCCGATGAATATGGGGTCATGACATCCCTGCATGTGGATCAACTACTGAAATATAAAATGTACGCGTAAATTCAAAGAATATAAGGCAAGAAAAGGCTTCTGTAATTAATCAGACATTTTTATAAATTTATAGCTTTGCATACATATTTATTTGTATTACAAACAACAAAATGTAATGCACAACAACAAAAAAGCAGTTATTAGTATGTACTTAACATTTTGATGGTCATCAATGAGCTCAGCTCGCGTTCCAGTTACGCACCGCAGTGGGCGCAAACGCCTCTTATTACAAATTTATAACTGACAGATGTGCATATAGGGAAAGAAAGAATTGCTTAATCTTGCAACTGTCGAAGGGTAAATGCGAGATGAGTAATCTCGAACGACCGTTGGCGATTATTTTATCCAAATTATGTTCCAACTCATTCACAGCAATCTTTAATACTGAATACAAATTTCATCAGTAATTTGTGACCGGCATTTATTTTTCATGTACTCCATTAACAAAAACGTTCTTTCAAATAAATATGTAGATCCAAATAAAACTAAATACAGGGTGATTATAATTAAAGTTTAAGTTTCAAAACGCTATAGAAAAAGAACCACTCATGAAAATGACGCCAAATTTGAAAGGAATGTTATTGAAGAAGGCGGAAAGCGTATGGCAGAAGAAAAAATTTAGTTTCAAAAGTTAGCAACAGATGGCGCTGCAAGCGGAAGATGACGTAAATTAAAATGTTAGTTAAATTTCAGTGTTATAAAAGCCGTCAGAGGTACCAGGCTGTTCCTCATTTCGCGTCTCAGACGTTTCGCCATGGGTGTTTTCACTGCAGGACCGCGCTCTGCTAATAAAGCTGTATTACAAGAATGATGATTGTGCAAGAGTAGCTCTGCAAAAATTCAGGACACTGAAGGGTATAAAAGAAGGCGTTGGTCCAATGAGTGTCGTAGGAATCTAAAGAAAATGATGCAAAAATTCGAAACGACAGGTTCGTTTGATGTGCAATCTGGTAGAGGGAGAAAACGAGTGCATTCGACGGTAGTTGAAGAAGTGGCCACAGCATTACAGGAGGGGTCGGCCGGTGGTGTGCAACCGTGCAGTGCACGAGGAATTGAACGAACATTGACAAGCCTACGAGCACGGTGCTGAAAATTGTACGAAACATCCTGCAATGCTATCCGTACAAAATTGGCCATGTGCAGGAGTTGCTTCCGCCTGACCTAACAGCTAGGGAGACGTTTGCGTTAGAATTCTTGGCTCGCATGGAAGTGGATAATGAATGGCCGTGGAAAATTTTGTGGAGAGATGAAGCCCATTTCCATCTGACAGGATACGTGAATACCCAGAATTGTCGAATATGGGCAACAGAAAATCCACTGGCAACGCACCCCGTACCACTTCATCCTGAAAAGGTCACGGTTATGGTGTGGCTTTACGGCATCATTTATCCTACAAACCATATTTTTTCGAAGCAGAC